TTATTTTTGCCCCTCCCGAATGCTGAGTGAATGTTGAGTTTTACTGGTTAATTTATTTTTGTGCACTTTTCTTTTGTATTGTCCTACACTCCCCTTCCTTTTGGATTGTAAGCCGCCCTGAGTCCCCTCAGTGAAAAGGGCGGCCTATAAATGTCTAATAAATCCAAATCCAAATCCAAAAACATCTTTTGGTACTAAATGCTTTCTGGTCAGCCAATTCATTCTGTCACCATGTGCATCTAAAAAAATAATATTCTCACCAACATTTTATTTTTAATTCCTGATGCAGATTTTAAGAATCCTAAAGTCTCAGTATTGTAACATGATATCCAAGTACTCATATTGCTTAGTTATAACAATATATGCTTTCAGGAAAAAATTTTTTAAAAAAATTATAGCAGCATATGCCCAGAAGGTAAGAAAAACATGAAACACCTCAGGATTTTTTCTTCAGATTTGCAAAATAAAAAATGGGTTTCATTTTGTGTGAGCACCATCTGCTGGTGAAATGATTGTGTATAAAGGCAAATGTAACATCATCATTATCATCCAAACTGCTGGCAACAGATGTTTATTTCTTCATTCACTCACTTCAATGTATATGGTTGCCCATTAACAACTCTGGGCAGTTAATTTAAAACTAAATTTTAAAACAACAACAATAAATGTACATATAGTAGCAGCTGAGGTCAACAACGATCACTACAAATGACATCCATCTTATGGGCTCCATTGACCTCACAATCCCCACACCAAGGAAAATAGCCAAAGTCTTTCTCAAATGCTGGCAGAGTTCTAACCTGTTGAATCTTGGGATTATGATGTTCCAGAAAAACAGTCATGGCAACAGAAAAGGCCTGTTTCCTAAATCACATTAAGTGACATTCCTTGATAAACAAAAATTGAACTGATACATAGGAGGGGAGCTGAATTTCCTTCTAATATAATAACCTAGATAAATCTTTTTCCCAGACATTGTTTGAATAGTCATTATATGCATGTTGACATTAGTAAAATATATTTTAGTAATGCTGTGTCACTAAAAATATCACCTATGAAAAAGGAATGTGCAATGTACAGCTTGGACAGTCATTTTTCCCCTTTAAGTTATTAATG